GTAGTTTGGCTTCAAATTTCTTAGAAGACACAATGTTGCAAAAGGGATAATTGTCCCATCTCTGCTCTCAAGTTAATGATTCAAATTTCCTGTTATGGTTCATGTCATTGTTCCTGTAAGAGTTTGCCTTGAAAGAAGCTCCTGCTTTCTGGTTTATGGGTTCATGTTTGAATAACTGCCACGGGTCCTGGTTCTCTTGACATAATGTACTTTGCCATTTTTGGATTACTGATAATTTGTATTTTCTATTTTTGGACTATTGCTATTTTGTATTTTCTATTCTACTGACCCTTTTGGAAATACTCCTTTTTCCCTTTGTACTTGCTTTCCTTAATACACATTTCTAGATAGTATTGCTGGACTCTGGTGTGGTGCTGGGGGAGAAGGTGTTTCAGAGCTGGAGTGCAACAAATGTATGGTCTTGTGCTCATATGTCCACATGCCATTATAACTCTTCTTTTCTTCACTATCACTTTTCTTTAATGTTTAATTTTAGTGCACAATTAATTTTAGTGCACAATTCCGACTTTGAAAAGTCTTTTATCAGTGACAGGTATCAGTGACTAGTGCTTTATCCTTTCAAAGTTTCATGGTTGAAGGAGGCATTGGATGACTTGTAGACATGTACCTCCTGTTGATGACGATTAGTTTTATCAAAGACAACTGAATCCTTCTGCCTTTTTCTTCCTTCCTTTTATTGACTTCTGCCTAATCAACTCTTTTGAAGAGTGTGATTTATTTTTTAGCGATATGCTTTTTGTATATGTGAAACTTCTTGATGGTAAGATCTATTTGGCAGTGGAATTTGCTGCCTCCCAATCTGGTGGAATCCTTTTCTCTTGGGGTTTTTGAGCAGGGACTGGATGGCCATCTGTCAGGAGAGCTTGGATTGTGTGTTACTGTATGAGGGTTGGACTGGATGGTCCTTGGGGTCTCTTCCAACTCTGTGATTCTAGGATTCTATGATTTTTTTTGTATCATTTCAAATTGTGTAATAATGTCATAAGTGTATGTATCGATACAAAAACACTTTTGTTTCCATGAACAATGGGTGTCCTCTGGCGAAGGAAGATAGATGCTTTTGAACTGTGGTGCTGGAGGAAAGTTCTGAGAGTGCCTTGGACTGCGAGAAGATCCAACCAGTCCATCCTCCAGGAAATAAAGCCTGACTGCTCACTGGAGGGAAGGAGACTAGAGACAAAGTTGAAGTACTTTGGCCACATCATGAGGAGACAGCAAAGCCTAGAGAAGACAATTATGCTGGGGAAAGTGGAAGGCAAAAGGAAGAGGGGCCGATCAAGTGCAAGATAGATGGATGGCATCCTTGAAGTGACTGGACTGACCTTGAAGGAGCTGGAGGTGGTGACGGCCAACAGGGGCCAACGTGGGCTGGTCCATGAGGTCACGAAGAGTCAGAGACTACTGAACGAATGAACAACAACAACCTCTGAGGATGCTTGCCATAGATGCAGGCGAAACGTCAGGAGAGAATGCCTCTAGAACATGGCCATATAGCCCAAAAAATCCTACAACAACCCAGCAATAAAACCTTGCTCTTTTTATGGAACCAACATGCACTACCACTACACGCCGCCAACTTACCAGTCCCATTGGGTTCCATTCTGCCTAACTTGTAAGGTTGATAATGTCAGGACTACTTCAGGCCCTAACATTTCAGGACCAAAACCTGAGGCTCAGTGGTGACCCCCTTTGGGGCAGCCATTGGTGATTTTGTAGACTCGTAGAGTGGAAGAGGCTCCAAGGACTATTCAGACCAACCTGCTGCACAATCCAAGCACTCCTCACCAATGGACATCCAGCTTTTGTTGAAAAACTTTCAGTGAAGGAGATCCCACCACACTCTAATAATAGCAAACAGAGTCCACCATTAAACAGATCTAATTGTCAAGAAGTTCTTCTTAATGTTCAGAAGGAATATCTTTTTCCTGCAGTTTGAATCCACTGCTCCATATTCTGGTTTCTAGAGCATCAGAACACAACCCAGCTGCATTTAAACTATCAATCACAGTTGCATAAGGTTGTGCCAAGTTATTAGCAGCAATTGCAGCAGCAGCAGTAACAACAATAACAACAAGTACTTATTCGGGCACATCCTAAGGTTCTCCATCTTTATGTTATTGAGAAAGCATACCGCACCCCAAATATGAATTATGTAAAATTGTGTGAGATACTATGAAGTGGCAGTGCTTCAGTCAGGAGGGCTGTTCACTCTGCCTCACTTTTTTCCTTGTTTATTTGACCCATCCTGGAATGTAGGCCAGTCCCACATAAAAGGAAATTTACATAATCTTCTTAGCAGTGGGCCTGATGGGATCCTTGCTGAAATCTTTAAAGAGGGAGGACCTGAGCTGACACAACAACTCCACCAGCTCATA